TACCACACCTATCCTAACTATTGTCAATAACCGTTGCTCCTCCAGTGTGCATATCACACTTGTCTTGCTTCTATCATGGTTTGACCAAATGCAGTAAAGGATGTAACCATTAATGAATCGTGTATGCATCCGTCTTGATTGTCCTGAGTATGAGGCTCTTCTTTCCACCATTAGTGGCATAATATGGAGAAAACCACAAGTAGATGAAGTAAATAGTAAAGAGAAATAGAGCGACAGGTAGTCTAGCTAGTTTGTTCTGAAAGGCAAAGGGGAGAGAGAGAACTGGGAAGGGCTTATACAAAGGACAAAGGAGACACTCCTTTGAGGATGGTCTTGGAATATAAATAATAAAGACTGGTAATGAGTCTTTTTTTTTTTTCTGGTAGTATGGACTGTATAGCACCTCCAGTTAATCTGATTATGGTCATTGTAAAAAATAAACTAAATATTAATGGATCTATGTTGCCTCACCTGTCTTGTCTGACATAATTGCTATGTAGAAGGAAACTCTTACAGGGAAGGGGAGTAGTGAGTTGATACACTAAACACAAACTTTTATTATAACTGAAAAGTCAGTAAGAAGATCAGTGGTCGCGAGGGGTTAGAGGAAGGGAGGAATGAATAAGTGAAGCACACATAATTTTTAGGGCAGTAAAACTGTTCTGTATGATACTATCTATAAATGGTAGATATATGTCATTATATATTTGTCAAAACCCACAGAATACACACAAAGAGTGAGCACTAATGTCAACACTGGGTTTTGGGTGGTAATGATGTATCACTGTAGGTTCATGGATTGTAACAAATACACCACCCCGGTGCAGGATGACGATAGTGAGTGAGGGAGGCTGTGTGTGTGTGTGGGGGGTGGGGGGCAGGCGTGTTTGGGGATCTCTTTGTACTTTCTGCTCAGTTTTCCTGTAGACCTAAAACTGTTCTAAAAAATAAAGTCTATTTTTTTTTTAAAAAGCTAGTTCTTCCTTAGAAAGTTCTAGAAACAAAAATTAAAATTACCTTCTTTTGAAAGCAAGAGAACAGATTTGTCAACTGTGATACTTAAAGGGAAAGCCAGATTCTCATTCACTGTATGAATAAGTTCACCAATCTCTTGTGAAATCATTCTGTCATCTGGTCTGTTAGGAAATAATATGTGAATTTTTCCATTACATACAGCACCACATTTTCAAATATATATTTTAATTTATTAAACTCACATATATTCTCTATTTCCAAAAAAAAAAAGATTTCAAGCAGCTTACAATAAAAGACATAAGTAATAAACATATTAGACAATAAAATATCACCAGAAGAGGCCAAATTAGGACTATAAATAAAGATAAAGAATATATGCTAATTATAAGGTTAACATGGTTGTTCTGATGGAATAGAAAATTCTTGCTGAGTTTTAAGAATACCTTGCCATTTTGTGTGTGTGTGTGTGTGTGTGTGATTTTTCAAAATTAGGAAGTATAGAAGTCATCAGAGGAGATAAAGTTTTTCTTGGTATAAATTCTGAAAAATTTATGTGATAATGTACTCTACAAAAGTTTTAGAGCAAATGCAGAAATGAATTGATTTTTACATGACTATTTCTTGTATTGAATTCTGAAAAAACTGAAAGCTTAACATTCAAGTTTGGCTCAATGAAGACTGTTCTGCCAGAATCTAAACCCGATACAGTATCTCTGTTAATACTAACCTTAAAGATTCCTTTGCTTTTATTTTATCAGTTAACCAGTTCTCAGCATCTTTTTTTCTTTTGCACAAAACATAAGATGATTTACTGCCTAGAAACCTGTAGACACTATTGTTTGAATCTTCAAATTCCAATTCCTTTTCATTTTTGAATAGCTTCATTCTCACTGGTTCAAATACTTTATGGTTCATTAGAACTTGGCAAAGACGAACTCCTTTTGATTGAGAGATATCATTACCACTTAGGCACATATTTCGCATAAGATGACTTAATACTACATCGACAGCATCAGAACCAGTAAAACAGTCCTCATATGTTTGTAAATGATGCTTCCTTCCTTTTATTTCCACTTGAGTCTGAAGGGAATGAATAATACCATCCCATAGCTGAGTAGCCTGAAAAGGACCAGAACATCCTGGGGAAAAAAAATAGTTTTTAACCAACACATATTTAGATTAGACAAAAATATTTCAGTTTTTCAGTTTGGATAACCTTATGCTTTTTTTACGGCATATCTGCTGCCCGCTGCCATTGTACTTCTGAAATTTCTACTCCCTGCATCTTATGTAAACCATAATACATTTACTAAGATTGCACCATGTATGTCTGCTAATATAAACATAACAAACCTAGGACTTACTTTTCTGATATTAAACATATTATTACGTGAATTTATATACCTATAACATTACATGATTAACTCACCCCCCCTGTGCCCACCCAGAGTTGGCTGAGGGCTGGAGTTGGCCAGGGTGAAAGGGGTCAGGCCTGGGGAGGAGGGCAGCCCTACAGCCTGCCCCTCCCCGCCTCACACACACATTCCTGTGCACACACTCACCGCTTGTCCCTCCTGCTCCCGTCCCTTCCTCTCTCTTTCGCTCCCCTCTCCTGTCTGTTATTTCCCTTCTCAAGCTTTATATCCTGGATCTCTTTCCATCTCTGTTGCCCGTCTTTCTTTTTTCTCCCTTCCTTCTTTTCCTTTCCTTCCTCCCTCCCTTCTTTCCTTCCTTTCTTCTTCCTTCTTCCTTCCTTTCCTCTTCCTTTCTTTCTTTTCTCCCTCCTTCCTTCCTTCCTTTCTTCTTGTCCTTTTGACCCTTAGCAAGCTCTTCGTGAAAGAGATCAAGGGCAAGGAGCTCAATAAACTAATCAATTTATCTGCTAGCTAGTCTTGTTGAAAAAAAAAGTTTGTGAGCAATAATGAAAACCTGAAAACAATAAAAATGTCCATCACCTGAGGAATCATTAAATAAATTATGGCATAGCATTATTATGGAATATTAAGCAGCCATTAGAAAAAATAAGGTTTGTAGAGTGGAAGGATATCATTAAGTAAGAAAAACAAAACAAAATTAAAAAAACAGCAAGTTGAACAGAACAATCTGTATGCTATCATCCTAGTTATGTAAAAATGATTTCCCAACCTACACTTGAATATATGTAAATAAATAGAAAGGTATAGAAGGATGAAATTCAATCTATTAATCTTTGAGAAGTAGGATTGTAATGAAAGAGGATGTTCGGTTTTTATTCTATATATTTCCAAATTTTTATAATGTACATATGTAAATTTTTCAATTAATTGGAGACAATAAAATTTATGTTGACATTATAATTGACATACCACAAAATTCACCCTTTTAAAGTGTACCATTCAATGGTTTTTCAGAACAGTCACAAAGTTGTGCAACAATCAGTACTATCTACTTGAAGACCATTTCATCATTGTAAAGAGAAACTCATACAGTTAGTAGTCACTCCTCATTCCCCTCTGTCCCAGTAAATTTTTAAATAAAAAATTTTATAATGATAAGGGAATAAGTTGAAATATCTAGAATATTGTTTCTATATTTTTTAATTGGTTAGAATCCAAGAATTTAAGCTCTATTCTCCTTTGTGAATAACTGGAAACAGGATGCTTAATTTTACATAATAGTCTGATGTTTAAGACAAAATGACAAATAAAAATCCATCATCTTCAAATGCCTTTAATAATAGAAGCTGTTTGTCTGTCCTTTAAATATTAGCCTGAGACACTGAGGACAGCGTGGAGACAGGTGTGGGGTGTGGAAGGTAAGGAGTGGAAAGGGGTAAGTTTTAGAGGAGGGAGAGAGTGATTGTAGGGTAGGAACGGGTAGGGTGGGTGGAGAAGGCTAGGAGTCGATGAGCGGAGACGAGGGTATTTTCCACAGACCATCTGCCTCTAACCTTTATTAAATAAGAACGCTAGTTTAAAGAAATAGTCCTTGTTGACAAGGAACTTGCCAGCTAGTACTTTAACCTCTTGTTCTAAGTGTAGTCTGTCGACCAACAGTATTGACGTTACATGGTAACTTATTAGAAAAGCAGAGTATCAGGTTCTACTGTTGAATCCAAACTGCATTTTAACAAAGTCCCTAACGATTCGTGTGCGTATTAAAGTTTGCGAAGCACTGCTTCACTAGACTTCCCAAGCACAGCAGTTCTGAAAAAGCCAAGTCGCAGTTCTTAGTCCGAGACCAGAGAGGGCAGGTGCTGTAAGAAAGGGGCGGGCTCCAGAATCCCGAGGAGCATAAAGCCCAAACCACCCGCTTCCCTCAGCGGCTCTCCCCTTCATTACACATTTGTTTAGGATCTATTGGCTACCTCTCCTCCTTTTCCTGCAGATGCCACCTCTAGGGCTCACGAAACTTGGCCCGCTCCGTCCTGGGCCCGGAAGATCACTGGCTGCCAAGGCTATGGAACCGCGGAGTCAAAAGAACCGCCATGAACTTGAGCCGGCTCCGCCCCTGGCTCGTAACCCCGCCCTCGCTGGCTCTCGGGGGCGGGCCAAGGAAG